GCTGAACTCGATGCAAGTGCTGTCCTCACGGCACTGGCATTTTGCAGGGCACACTGCATGGGAGGGAAGTGTGTGGGAATTAGGCACGCAAGACAAGGCATCAGGTGTGAGGTCAGCATCCTAAGTGCACCAGCAGGCTCCGCAACCTCTTCCCCCACCTCATAAGGATTTGGCAGCCTGTGCTTAAGACCAGGTTTGGTATAGTGCAACTGTGTCGTCTTGAAACAGACTGCCATGAAGAGCAGGACCCTGGTCCCCTTTTGCTCAAGAGCTGCATTTAATCTGAGGTCCTTGCTATTGGTCTTTGCCTGATCTACATTGTAGGTATGCCTGCACCCTGTCTTAAACCTTGCTGATGCTGACTTAACTTTCCTTGGCTTCTTGGCTTGGCCTTGGACCTGCCTCATCACTATGGACTTGTCTTGCGGTCACTGGACTCCTGGTTGACTCCAGGTTACCATCACCAGACCTGATCTGCTTGCCTTGTTCAAGTTCTGTAGGACTGCATCCTGTCTGGTGAGGTCACTGTTCCTCCTGCCTTGCTGTCACCCTCAGCTCATAGGTCACCTTCCCCTACAGAGCAGCTGCTCCCCTTGCTCTCTGATAGGTGAGTCCTGAACAATGATGGATTCCTTGATGTCCATGAGCTCTGATAGCTGCTCAGAATGGAGATGGACCTAAGGTGCCTACCCATCACAGCGTTTGACTTCTGATCATACATTTTCATAGCAGGAACTGTCCCCTTGTCCTGTGTTTGTGTGTATCTATGTGCAACACCAAGCATGATGGGCCAGTACCTCCCAGGCATTTTCTTCACTGCAATGACTACAATTTCTTCAGCAATTAGTGTGAGGCTTCCAGACAACTGGAGGTCTCAGGCAATCTGAACATTGATTTTAAAGACAGGGACCGTTCCATACAGACATGGCGTGAATAAGCAAGGATGCAACAGTGGCAAGACCGTAAGAAAGGAAGGAAATCACAATGTTTCTATTTTCTTTTTCAAATACAAAGATGTGTTTGAAAACACTGAGAAACAAATACTTTTTTTGTTCAGTCTTAGTCTGTGTTAACCTGTGGAACTGAATGACACAAGATATCCCTGGGTCCAAGAAGCTAACAGGATTCAGGAAAGGATAAGATATTCATAAGGATGCATATGTATCCTTGTCTGCATGAGGGAAGCAAGCAAGCCCTGATGTCAGACAGCTGGATGATGGGACAGAGTGCACTGTCAGCAAGATTGCAGACAATACAAAACCCAACCTCAGCGATCCTGTGAGAACTCCCACACTTCCAGCACAGAATTAAAACTTCTTTGAGAAAGATTTCTCCTTCCTTTTACTTCAGACTTTTCTATACCTTCCTCTGAATCTTTCAGAATTGGCCACTGTCTCCAGTGGTTCAGGGATCTTTCTGTCTGTGAAAAAAAATCTGTAGGAGACAACTAATGAAAAATTAGTAGTGACAGCAGTGTGATGAGCCCCCCCACTCACACCAGGGATGGGAGAACAGAAGAATTAGGTGTGATGTCTGAGCCTGAATAGCTGTTCCGATGAGAATGGGGCTTTGCAGGACTCCTGGGATACTGGAGACAGTGTCTGCATCAGCACTAATTGCTGTTGGCACGAAGAGCTGATGGCTGATTGAGAACTTTTAGATGCTCCCAAACTGGGTGAGGATCTGTACAGATCAAGTGTCACGAATGGCCTGGGGGGAGAAAGCAGGGCAGCGGGTGGGCTTGGAGAGGTGTGGGCAAGGTGAGAGGGTTGGGAGGGGGGATGCTGAGTGGTGTGACAGCAGAGGGGGCTGTAGGCCAGGGCTGAGATTGATCGTCGGGCCTGGGTGGGGGAAAGCAGGACAAAGTGGGGGACAGCCTGGGCAGGGGCCTTCTTTCAGGCTGCCTGGAGCTCTTGGTGCATGGGTATCAGGGGTTTCTCCCAGGAAGACTGTGCGGTGGCACAGGAGCCTGCTCCTTCTCGAGCAGGCTGAATCCACCTGGCAGTGGGATGAGGCTTTTATGGATGCAGAGGTTTAAGCTCCTGCAGGGGAGGTACAAGGCTGTACCTAGGCCAACTGAATCCTCCCCATGTCTCCCTACCTTTGGAGAAGCAAGGGGCTGTGTCCTGCTGAGATCAGGGACCGTCGGGGAGAGGAAATCACTCACCACAATTTCTCTCATCCAGCCCATTGGGGCAATCTTTGATCCCGTCACAGGCTGGGACGCACAAGCCGTTCACCGAACACAGGAACTCCCCGGGACAGGCTGTGAAACCACCAGAGAGTAGTTAGTCCCCAGTGACTGGAAACCTCCTTGCAGCAGAGCACCGTGGCTTGAAAGTGGAGTGTGGAGATGCACACCTTCCTGACCACACGTGTGCTGCAGCAGCATGCGGCGGCACTCGCTGCGCTCCCCAAAATCTGCCGCATCTTCTGCTCTGAACAGGGGCAAATTGAGCCAGGCTATGCACCAGGGGAAGG